TATGTACATTGCTTAATTTACTCTACTTGTCTTAATGGAACTAGTTTGATTAAGTAACAGTTTATTTCTTAGAGAGTGTGTAAAAGTACTTTTACTTTCCCGATTTTTGTGAACCGTTTTATGACTTTTTAAATACTTTTCTCATCAGTGAAATTATTTTTTTAACCAAATTCATTTTCTGTTAAGGTATTTTTACTTTTACTTAGTGTTTTTCCCCCCAAGTACTTTGTAGACATCTGTTCAAATATGCACAAGCTTCAAAACTCATTCAGAACTGTTTCCTGGTTAGGATCTCCGTGATTAAAAATAAGTTTACCATGAAGTCCAGGAGGTCCAGGCTGACCTTTAGGTCCTCTCACAGTGGGCCCTCTGGCCCCTCTGTCTCCCAGTTCACCTGTAAACGAACATTTCACATTTTGTTCCTCGTTCGTTTAAAGCAGAGACAAGACTGTTGCAAAAATCAGCCCGMGCAGTTAAATCCTGGCACCTTTTGGTCCTTTCAGCCCCATCTGCCCCGGTGGCCCTTTGAGTCCTGGAAGGCCCCTCGCTCCAGCCTGTCCGGGGAAACCGTTGTCACCTTGGGGYCCGGGAGGCCCAGGAGGACCGGGTTTCCCAGGTAAACCGGCGGCACCGGTCTCCGGCCTTCTTAAACTGGCAGCCAGCTGGGCCAGCTGTTCTGTTAAAGCACAATAAAASACAAAGATCAGCCGACAGAACCGGAAGAAGCCGAGCTCGCAGCAGAGACGCTGCAGCAGCTCCTGAGCTCGAAGCTTTTTGACTCTGAACTTTGAGGTGAAACTGTGGCCACAACATCCCTCGAGCTGCTGCTGCTATTCAGCCTTTTTATGTAAGCTGCAGTAAATTCGGCCAAAATTAAATATTCTTCATTTCAAGCTCAAAAGATCTAATATTAATCTCCCATGACTCCTTGCTCCATCTGTTTAGCTTTTTTCCTTTTCTTTTTTTTACCTTTTTTTTACATAGAATTTGGTTTTTTGTGCCTGATAGATTTTCACGCCGTATATGCTTGACTTGCTCCTCTTTTTTTTTTAACATTTCCTTCTGGCAGACTCTCTCGCTCAGAGCAGAAAAGCGCAGGTCTGCTGGAGGTGAAATTAATTTTTCAACACTTCGGGCATAAAAAAGTCATGAGAGTAGGAGATGAGCGGTGAAGATGTAAGAGCCCGAGAATGGAGAGAGAGAGAGAGAGAGAGCAGATGTTGTGACTTCAGTGAAACATTTCCAAAGGCTCCGAGAACGTATTTTCCATCCATCACACGAACAAAGGCTGAAGCTTTATTTCGAGCATTTTTTTTTCTTCTTTCTCGATTTTTTTGTACAATTTCAGAGCAGCCGGACAGATCAATGAGACAAAGCAGAGCAGCACGAGACACACTCAGACATTACAAGCAGGAAATGAGGCACAAAGGAATCATAAATGGGGTCAAAAAGCTTCTTATTTTTCCCTCACCTTGCATGACTCGCATGCAAACTTGTCTGATGTGCTGATCGCTCGGCTCTTTACCCTGGAGGAAAGAAAATATAAAACATTTGTTTGCTGAATTCAAAAGTACTTTTGCATCATTTGTTTTAATTGACAGAAAATTTAAGTTTCCCCTTTTTCTTAKTTGCAAAAAATAAATCGGTCAAATCAGCAAAAAGACTGTTTTACTTTGAAGTTTATTTTGAAAGTACAACAAAATGGGATGTGTCCAACTCTTAATATTTACTGACATTTATCTGTCAGGCACTCGCTCGCTGAGATGTTTGCCAAACTTTTCAGTTGTTTTGGACCTACCGCAGGTCCCTGGGACCCTCTGACTCCACGCAGACCCCTGTTCCCTTGCATCCCCCGTGGTCCAGGTGTCCCGGGAGGGCCTTCGATACCCGGCTGACCTCGACTCCCCTCGGGACCCCTTTGGCCTGGGTCACCAGGCGTACCGGTCTGAACAGAAAACAATCATATTATCAGATAAAGGTTTTTAACCCGGGAAATGCTTTTAAGGGCTTGGAAAAAAAAAAAACGTGACACATCAACCCACCTCGCCTTTGGGACCAGGTTCTCCCGGCTCACCCTATGAGACCGGTGGATGAAAGTCAGAACAAAAAGTTATATTTCAGTGAGGCTGAACTAAACACAAGGATTGTTWTTGTTATTACTTACAGAATCCCCTCTGTCTCCAGGGTTTCCCTCATCACCTTGTACTCCCTAAGAAAAACATGTAAAAAATGTATGCAAATCACCCCCTTGTGTTATTTAGGTGAAGTAGTTTGTTGTAAAATAATTTTAAAAAGATAAGAACTCCCTACTTGTTCTCCTTTAGGTCCCGGTTCTCCACGTTCTCCCTACAGAGAACACAACAAAGGTTTTAAACCTTTAAACTTTAAGATTTTAGATCTCAAAGATGTTTAGATTGTCCACTAGAGGGTGCTGTGGAGCTGATGATTTATCTTTCTTTTCTTTTCTTTTTTTCATAATAGATGCGTCTTTTTCAGCAAAAATATTCTGGCATCTTACCCTCTCTCCTTTTATTCCAGGAAGACCAGGAGGACCAGGGAGACCAGGAAGACCAGGATCACCTTTTGGTCCCTTGGATTAAAAAAAAGAAAAAGAAAAAAAAAACAATGTGTGAATTATGCAGGGTTAAAATGTGCCAGGTTGAAAGCACAAATAAAAGAAGAAAARATCATCATAAAAGCTGAGTAATTGTTCTGTGTCAGAGGCCTGTGCTCACAATGTGCTTGTGTTTAGCCTTTTAAAATAAAAAAAAAATGTTAGCATTTATGCTCATTTTTCTCCGGCATGTTTTGTGCCATTCTGCCTTTGATCGCTGACCAACTGAGGAATGCCAAAGGAGACAGAGAGCTCTTTCAGCCTGCTGGAGTCTCCCCTTACTGTGAAAATAGAGCTCATGTGAGATCCGGGCTCGGCCTATTCTCTGAGACATTCCAGTGACACAACAAGGCCCAGTCCYAACCCTGGAGGTTTCTCTCCTTTTTGAATGGTTTTCATTTGCAATATCATTAATGCACGAAGGCATTTTTGTTTGTGAAATTTTATCCTTTTTTTTTATTTGCTGGGGATTTTTAAAAAGTAGGATTTTCCCAAATGAATGCTCAAACAAAAAAAATCAAGCCAATTAAAATATAAAATGAGTCTGTTGCACTCTTTAGCTCAAGTATTATAACTCACCCTCGTGCCCATTTTCCCAGCTGGACCCACCAGGCCTTGGTCTCCTATATCTCCCTGTAAAGAAGAGGAGACAATTATATAATTTAAAAAAAAAAGCTCAGTTTAATATCTTAAAAGAAAGGAACTAAAACTTTATGAAGAAAATCCTCACGGGTTCACCGATGGGTCCAACAGGTCCCGCCTCTCCCTGTTCTCCACGCTCACCCTTTAACGTGAGGATAAAATGACAGGATGACGCGAGGAGAGACAGAAACCACACAGATCCAGGTGATTCCACTCAAACTTACAGGTTTACCAGTGGAGCCCAGCTCTCCGGGGAGTCCTTGCTTACCACCGTCACCCTGAGAGGAAACCAGCAAACTGGTTTTCAGATTCTGACAGTTTCATTTGAGAAACGTTTAACACTGGAGAACATGTTTCAAARGAATGAGCACCGAACCTTAGGGCCACTGGAGCCTTTTGTTCCAGGTGAACCTGGCAAACCCTGAAAAAAGGAATCAAGCAGCAGTTAATGTTCCAAAATTAATAAAGAAAATGTTTTAAAGGATAAAGAGAAAAGTTTAGTTTTAACAAATGTTTTTTTTTTAGTTTTTGACCCTACTAGGTAAGTTCATTTTAAGTGTGATTATGTAGAAAGATCATGAACAATAATTATCTTACCTGCTGCATATGGCTCTTTGAACAACTTTTCTTTAAAGACTAAAAACTGCTTTGATGAGCTAACAGCTGGGTCAAAAGGGGCTAAGACCAAAGATTGCTGCCTGTTTAAAAATAAACTAGATTTATGCATTTTAAAAACCCTTTGGTGACCAGTTTTGAATTAGGGATTACATGTTCTTTGCAMAGAAATCTGTCATGTTGCAAGCATTAATAGCAGTAGCAGCTAGCAGTAGCATGGGTGACTTTTGTTGGAATGTAATAAAATAACTTCATAAGGTTGAACTATCAACAGTGCAATGATTTCATAAATTAGCATTCACATAAACGTATAGCATATCTTTGAGACAGAACTTGTTTATTGATGGCAACAATCCATTGAGGACTAGCCATTAGCTCATCAGTATGTCAGGGTTAAAGTGTCAAAGTGTCAAACTCAGGCCATTCAAAGAGCTATTCACAACAGGTAAGATATTGTTTTCCCACAGGATCTCTCTTCAAAACATTTGGAGCATCCCTTTAAGGCAGGGGTGTCAAATGCATTTTCACCGAGGGCCACATGAGCATCATGGTGGCCCTCAAAGGGCCAGTTATAAATAACTTTCATGTTTTTGATGTYTTTTAACATGGCCTCTTATGAACACTGAAAATAACTAAGTGTACGACTGACTAAATCTGAAATACATAATACATAAATAATATTGAAAAGTAAAACTAAGAGAGTTTTACTCACAAATAAGTTGTAGTGAGTAGCTCCCATCTTGAACTCTGACAGGGATTTCTCATGCATAATCAACATGCATTATGGGAGATGTAGTTTATGGGCAACATTGGCTTTAAAGCAGCTTATTTTAACGCGTTGTTGTTGTGCTATCCAATTAAATTACTCAGTTACTTAAAGCCAACATTTCAGGAGCAAGACAAGTATTATCTTTCATCTTTTAAATGTGTTTATTTTGTTCTGTTTAATCATAAATTCAAAGCTTATCATTGATATAAGAAACAAACTTCACACTAAGTTAAAAAAAACAACAACAGGGCCCCCCTGGTGGACCAGACAGGAGTCACCTGCGGCTCACTTTTGGCCCATGAGCCTTGAATTTGACACATGTGCTTTAAGGTATTTTTTCTTTGTGTTTGATATAAATCAGGTTTTTTTACACCAGCAGGGTCACTCATAATCGTCCTGTTGTTATGTTTGCTCACTGATTCTCATTGGTGGCTTTGATCAGACACATCACATCACAGAGCAGGCACCTCGTTTCCCCTTTTRTTAATCACCCTCTCACAGGCTGCTACCTTTCTGCTGTACAATATAATAACAGGACGGAGGTGCGTGGTTGTTTGCTCAAAACATGAAGTAAGTAGGTCACCTTTGCTGCTCATGTTAAAGCATTTTTCAGGAGGCTTATTGTTAAGGCAGCGGTGGGAGTGGAAGCGAGCGCCGCTCTATCACTGATGGTGCTTTAAACTTGGACTGGAAAGAGTTCAGTCAGTTTCAATCCGATTACAGTCAGCCATCACAGTTTGGGTTCAAAGGTCACACTCACAGGAAGCCCCTGAAGTCCAACCTCTCCGGGAACGCCTGGCCTCCCGACGCTTCCCTACAGTGGGAACAGAAAGCTGAAATAATTCGGCTTTAAAGGGATCCCTGATCAGTTGTAACATTAGATTTTATTTAATAAACATATATTTTTACTGTAAAATAAAAACTGTAAAAATACTGCAGGATGTTTAGTTTTGTACATTTTAAAAAATA